ATATAAAAAATGTTAACATCTTTAAAGAAAAAAAATAAGTCCCGCTTTCTCCACCTCTCATTTCATTTCTGTCATTTTAAATGCATTAAAGTTGCACAGAGATTTTGAGCAATTACAGACTAAAGCTGTTGCCCCTGGGGGAGGAAAACTGCTGCAGCCCACCCAGCAAAGGGAAGAACCCACAAGGAAAGACCTTCCTTCCTCCTCCTGTGGTTGGCCTTGCCCTTCATACCCTGGAGAAGCCCAGAGATCCCCACGACCCTCTCCAGGCAGTGATTTGCAGAAAGAGGGAGCTGTGGAGGGAGAAGACTGGTTCTGGGACTGCCCTTCTGCAGTACCAGGATTTCAAGTCTTTGTTTCAATCAGGAAGACCCTCCCCAAAACTTCTCAGTGTCTCTTTTTCTGTATTTTTAGGTTTTTGCTTTTGTTTTTGAGGTGGAGTTTCACTATATTGTCCTCCTGCCTCAGCTTCTAGGGAAGCTGGACTAACCTGTGACAGGCATGCAACAGGCAGGCACCTACCCCAGGCCTTTCTGGGGTAAGAAGGATTTGCATGGTGTAATGGGGGTACATCCTGGACAGGGACCTACCACCTGGTGATGCCCCAGCCCATATAAGACCCTCTGAGTCTTTGGGAATCAGTTTTCTCCCTTTCTCTGGTCTCTGGGATGCAATCTAGGGCCTCTCATATTGCTAGGCAAGTGCTCTGTCACTGAGCTGCACTCCCTGCCTGTCACTTGTCTAGAGTTCCCTAAGGGCCTTTTCAGATCATTAGTTGGTGTTTCCACTGATTAATTCTGCAGAGACTTCCTGGGGTATAAATGCTTTCACCTCCACAGAAGCAGCCCCTGGCCACCACTGCAAAGGAGGTTCAACTGGTCCTCTCAAAGAAAGCAGAGCCTGTGAATTGAGGCTCCTAAGCTAATAGAGCGGGCAGTTAGGTCCCTCTGAGAAACTTGGCGCTGGTAGGAAGTATAAGCAACGAACTCAGATGAGTTTAGGTAATTTCCTCCTCGACATGCTGGAGTCAGTCCAAGGTGGATTCAGCCAGGGCCACCAACCCTTCGGTGACACCCGTGACCTTGAGTCCAGCCGAGTGGCTGGACGACGGCCCTTGCTAGTAAGCCACGCCTACGACCTACGCACGCTTGTGAAACTTGAAACCCGAAACTGTCCCGCCCCGCGGAGGGTGAGGGGGCGGTACCTAAAAGAGAGGGCGTGGGTTTAGGGCGGAGCCACAGATAGGCAGAGCCTAGGTGCCGCGCGTGCGTAAAACGCAAACTAAAGAGGTCCGCAAGCGGACCGGGGCCTAGAGGGCGTTCACGCACGCGCGCTTTTGCTGTGGGCGGGACCTTGTGCCGGGGGCGGTGCCTCAGGCGGCGCGTGCGCAGGCGCGTGCTGGGCAGTGCGGGCGCGGTGCGGGGGGCGGGGCTCCGTGGTTCGGAGCTGGCCTGTGGCGAGCTGGTGTCTGGCAGGACGCGGGCTGCGGGAGGTCAGTGGCGGTCGGGGAGCGGAGCCGGTCGCCGGCACCATGGAGGACGATGACAGCTATGGTGAGTGGGACCGGTCCGCTGCCCCTTCGTGCGCTTCCGCCTGCGCCGGTGTCCCTGGGACGGGGTGCGGAGCGCTGGGTGGCGGCAGTGCGAGGGCCCGGGGGTGACTGACTGCCCAGGCGCTCGAGGGCCTGAGGGTCGCCGAGGCTGAGGGTCACCTGCACCTTTAGGGACTCCGTGAACTGAGCGTCACCGGGGCCTGAGGGTCGCCGGGAACTGAGTGTCACTCCGGCCTGAGGGTCGCCGGTGCTGAGGGTCACCCAGGCCTGGAGGGTCACGGGCAGGGGTTTCCGGAACCTGAGGGCGCCGAGGGGGGCAGGTGTTAAACCGGGGCTTTCAGGCTCTGGGACCGGGGTTACTCGACCTGGGGGTCGCTGGGGCTGAGGTTTGTGAGTCCGGGGGCCCCAGGATGGAGTCACCGGGGTTAGAGGGTCTCTGCGGCGAGGGATAGCCGGAGCGCCGAGGGTTATGAGGATGCTGAGGAGCCCCGGGGCGCCCAGGGACATCAGGGCCGGGTGACTGGGGTCGGAGTCTTCGAGGCAAGTCGCCTACTGCTTGTCACCGGGTTGGCAGACGCTTCGAGCGACCGCGGGACTAACTCCCGGCCTGTGTTCCCTAGTAGTTTCCGGCTCTCTCTCGGGGTGTTAGAAGTTATGTGCCCCATCCAGCTCTTTGTTCTGAAATGAACACAAGTGGCCTCACCGGGGGCCTCTGAGCCTGGGACATCGTCGGTCAGGTTCGTGCTACCGTCGCATTGTGAATTAGCTACTGGTCCCCACGTCTGTCAGTCAGGGCCTGACCATTCTGGGCAAGGAGATCAAGTTTGAGCTGTTGCCTGAAGGTAGCCGGGTAATGACACCAATCCACATCCTCCAACAGGGCAGAAGCGATTGAGACTCTCCCGGCTAACCTTGCTGCTTATTGGCGTTCAGCCAGGGCTCTGGTCCCACAGAGGGTGTGCAATCTCTGGAGTTGTAGAAGGCTATTTGAAATGCTTTACGTGGTTGTTAGCATTGTTTCCAAGGGGAATGGAAGAAGGAATGGCAGGTAGGGCGAGTGGCGAACTTTACTGGTTTGGCAGGGGAGTATGGATCAGGAACTTAACATGCTTATGGGGCTTAATGGAGCCAAACTCTGGTGTGTTGCCTCACAGGTAGCATTGATTGCCTTCTCGCACTCTGGTGAGGAATATTAAAATACCAAAAGGGAAGCCTGTTAGGTCTTTGCAGGTAAACCCTTAGAGAACTACGACCGGTAAAGCCATGAGGGTTATGGCTAACAACTTCCTGAGCTTCAGGTGTGTGAACAGTGTTTCCCTGAATGTTAGAGGTCTGTGCCTGCCTGTTCAGTGGAAGATGCCGGCCTTTGCTACCTTCCAGGTAAAAGTAGTGTGTGCTTTCCTTTGTGATAGAAAAGCAGTCACCTGCAGGCAGGCCCCGAGGGATTGCTCAGCCCCTTTGGACCCTCAGGGTTTTTTCTTCTGCTGGAAACCTTCACTGGCTTTCCCCACTGTTATTTTCTCTCTCTTGTCCTTTGTTGCCCTCTGGGTGCTAGGGTTCTGCCAAGCTTTGTTCTTACCTTCCCCTGGTTATTGCCTGCTGGGTGAGGCAAGAGGCTGCTGTTCTGGTTGTTTTAATAGTGACTGCTTTGACTCAGGCATGGCTTGTACTAGGAAAGGAAAAATGGAAGCCTTTTGGTTCCTGTTACTGCCAGGAATAGAGGGGCTCAGACCCAAATTTTCTCTGTAGTTTTGGAGGTCAGGAGGTCCAAATTAGGTCATACTGGGCTGCTACCAAGATTTCGTTAGGGCAGTGCTCCTTCCAGAGATTGGAGGAAAAGTCAGCCCCTTTCCTAGCTCTAGAGCATGCTTGCTTCCCTTGGTATCCACCTTTAAAGCCGATGGATAACATCTCTCTACTTTGTCTACTTGTGACCCTTTCATGAGGAGACTTGTGTGTCACACCTACCTAGATAACCCAGGATAAGGATGGTAGCCATTCACAAATCCAGCTTCCCTTTTGCCACGTGAGGAAACACTTTTAAAGATTTGTGGGTTAGGATGTTCACATCTTTAACTTTTTTTTTTTTTTTGACTTTTCAAGACATGGTTTCTCTGTGTAGTTCTGGCTGTCCTGGAACTCACTCTGTAGACCAGGCTGGCCTCGAACTCAGAAATCTGCCTGTCTCTGCCTCCCAACATCTTTAACTTTTAAAAGTATTTATCTAGTGCATGCGAAGGTCAGAGGACCTCCCTATAGGAGTTGGTTCTCTGCTTCCACTCTGCCAGTCCTGGGATGAAACTCAGGTTGCTAGACTTAACACCAAGTGCTTTTTAACCCACTGGGACATCTCACTGTCCCAGATGTGGGAACGCGTGCGTGCGTGCGTGCGTGCGTGCGTGCGTGCGTGCGTGCGTGCGTGGAAGCCTTCAGGAGAGCCGAACGGGAAGATGAAGAGGAAGCTTATGCCCCCCTTTATACACCTTTATGTCTTTTTATTTGGGAGGAACTAGAGGGATTAAATACAAGAAAACTCCTTGAGTATCATGTATTATAAAATGGCCATGTGGAGACCGAGACCGGCTTCCCTCTCTTTCTCCCCACCCTCCTTCCTTCCTTCCTTCCTTCCTTCCTTCCTTCCTTCCTTCCTTCCCTCCCTCCCTTCTTCTCTCTTTCCCCCTTCTCTTGATCTCTTCTTTCCATTTTGAGTTGGGGGAGCAACTCCCTGTGATTCCACAGGGCTGGCCTCAAACTCCTAGGTTTAAGTGATCTTCCTGTCTCAGCCTTCTGAGTAGCTGGCCCTGTACTGATCCTGTGTCTGGCTGAGCCTCCCAGTTTGGTTTGTTGTAGTATCAGACTTTAGAGAGACTTTCCTTAGACCAGTCTACACATGTTAAGAGGAAATGTGTGCTAGGGATTCGTGAAACATGTAGACATGCTCAGATCGTCCATTGTTTTCTTCCAAATGGACTTAAGCTGTATATTTGGATTTTAAAATAATAAGCTGTTTCATGTGGCTTTGACATTTTTACATACAGACGTTTTAGCCAGGTTTGTCCAGAATCTGCCCTGTCTGCCTTTGCTTTGGCCTTGGACTTTATCACTGTTCTGTAGGGAAATACATTTGGGTTACAGAGCTATCAGTTCTGTATTAAAAATAAAATCTTTGGCACACAAGTCATGTGTAGCATGCTGAAGACAGAGCACATGTCTTGGAGGTTTGCTGTTCAACTAAAGGGACTTTCAGAAACAAACAGTGAGGCCTGCCTCCCCTGAAGGCCTCTTCAGTATTCACCAGGCAGAGATCATTTGATGGCTACACCTATGCAGGCTGTGGCTTTCCTGGCTCTAGAAAGAACTCTGTGGTGGCACTGTGGTGTTCTGCCAGATAGTACTGCTGGCTTTTATGGCCAACTGTTTATGTTCAGGAAGAAAAAAAAGTGTAAACTTAGATTTTATATATATCTTGTTTAGGACACAGACACTGGGCCTGACTGGACTCAGGTAGGGTTCTATGTAATACTGCACAGAGTTGTGAACACAGATCCATGTGAAGGCCTCCCCAGAGTGATCTTCACTCTGCTGCACAGTAATGGTCATCAGGTTGGGGCTCATTCCTAGATTCAGTTGTTAACTTTCTAAAAAAAAAAAAAAAAATTTGAGACAAGGTGTCAGGTAGTCCATACTTGCCACAAACTTATTATGTTGCCCAGAATACCCTTGAACTCCTGATACTCCTGCCACCACCTCCTAAGTGCTGGATTACAGATGTGTGTCATACCCAGCTTAACTTCCTTTCTAAGGATCATCTCCATCCAAACTTAATTTTGTTTTTATTTTATGAGTGTTTTGTCTTTATGTATGGTCAGAGGAGGTGTCAAATCCCTGAGAACTGGAGTTACAGAGAATTATAAGATGCCATGTGCATGCTAAGAATCAAACCTGGGTTCCCTGGAAGAACAGCGAGTGCTCTTAACCACTAAGCCAGCTCTTCAGCTACCATATACATACACACACACACACACACACACACGCACGCACGCACGCACGCACGCACGCACGCACGCACGCACACATGCACGCACGCACGCACACGTTGGGTTTTTTTTGAAATGAGTTTTACTCTATAGCTCTGGCTAGCCTAGAACTTGTTACATACACCAGGCTGGCCTTGAAATAAAAAAATCCATCTGTCTCAGCTTCTCCAGCATTAAAGGTGTGTATCACCATTCCTGTCTTCCCTACATAAACATTTAAAAGGAGGACCCTTGGAATCTACCCTTTCCCATAACAAAGGCATTTTAGACACCTTAGGCAAACTGTCAACAGGTCATTGATCTTTAGGTTTAGGACAGCTTTCAAGTGAACTGGAAAGTTCTCGTTCACACAGAAGAGCCTGCCAGAGCTCCTGCACCCACCTTGCTCCTGAAGTGCTTGTGATGTAATCTTCGCATTGAGCTCCTGGATCCTATGCAAGCAAGGTAGAAGCAATTTTAATTAGATTATCAGTATTTAAGAAGAATTGAGAAAGTGTAGGTTTCAGTTTCTTGGTAGACTGAGCAGTGAGGTAAAGCACACAGGAAAATAGTTGATTTGCATAGCATGCGGGGGACTGCTGAAGCACAGCTGAGAGCTTGGTGTCTCATGAGGGCCAGGGTGCTGAGATAAAGACAGACGGAGCACCCAAGGCCTTCAGGACCACCTCTCATCTGTCTTCTGTCACAGTGATCATTGACGACGGCCAGGATCTGACCTGGTTTCTGTGCATGGTTAGGTGTGATGCCTAAAGCACTAGAGTGCCCCAGGAGAAGAACTGTGGTCTGTTGATACAGAGCTGTCCTGAATTGTCGTTACTGTGGGAGTCTTGCCACAGAAGCCGTAGGGGTGTGAAGGGCAGGTGTAGAGGATGCAGGTGGTAGCCTGTTGGTGGAAGCAGGGCTTCTGGCCAGTTGTAACCTAATTTTATGACCCTAGGGCTCTTGTAGGTACTTTAGGGAATGGACTAAGAAGAGAGTTGTCTCTGGTTTTGGTGGAAAGGGTTGTAGAGTAGAAATAATCACTCTTCACAACACCTCGGAATCCATGTGCTGTACTACAGCCAGAAGGAGGGTTCTGTCAGACAGGAAGAGCTGACTGTGCTATACAGTGAGCCATGGGGATCCATGTGTATGGGTATGAGAAGGCTGAAAAAGAACAACTTATATCTTTGAGATTTATGTTTTATGTGTTAGTGTTTTGTCTGAGTGTGTTTATGTGTACCACATGAATGCCTAGTGTACCTGGAGACCAGAAAAGAACATTGTGTCTTCTGGAACTGGAGTGGCAGAGGGTTGTGAGCCAACATGTAGTTGCTGGGAAATCAAACCCAGGTCCTCTACAAAAGCAGCAAGTGCTCTTAACCACTGAGCCATCTCTCTAGTCTCAAGAGTAATTTTAAAGTTGGTTTTAAAGATCAGTTTTAAGAGAGACAGGATTAGTGATTTTCTACAATGCTGATGTTTCAAGCATGGTGTTCGTATTTCTCAGCACCGTTGCTCTCCCGGTCTCTGCACACTCGGGTGATCTGCTGGCTCGCTCTGCTCAGGCCTCACTACTTCTTTACTGATCAGTGTACGTTCTTCTTCCCAGTTGTCGGCTTTGAGAGCAAGAGTCATTTCTCCATAGCCCATCCTACACAAGCAAGGACTGACTTGGGGATCTCGTTTCTTCTTCTTGGCTCCTTACCTCAAGCCTTGTAACCTGATTTACTGTGCACACGGTTTTCCACAGGGTATTGGCCTCTTCCCAGGATTGGGAATTCTCAGAGACTCTACGGGTTTTGCCAGAATCTTAGCTAACTTGGGATCACTCCATACTCCTCTTGCGATATAGGCTTTGAGGAATGACAGGGCCATCCAGGGTGACTTTGCAGTATTGACGATTTTGCATCAGGGCCCTGGCAGGATGAGCCCCTTCTATGGCTGGTCTTCAGGGCGAGCATGGTATTCCTGCCACCATCACTGGGAGCAGCTCCTACTGGAGCTGTTTTTCACTGGCTTCAGACTTTTCTTTGTTCCCATGAGAGGGAAGAAATGGACTTAGGAAGTCAGTTTGGGAGTGAGTGAGTGGACATGGGGTCTCCATGGCTTGCCTTTGCTCTCTGTAGACATGAGTGAGTGGACATGGGGTCCCCATGGCTTGCCTTTGCTCTCTGTAGACATGAGTGAGTGGACATGGGGTCCCCATGGCTTGCCTTTGCTCTCTGTAGACATGAGTGAAGTGTATGCAGTGTTCTGGACAGGACAGGGAGTATGACGTTTGGAAGAGCTGCTTTTAAATTTTTGGACATCTAGAGCAAGCTGTGGGGTGTAGGGTCCCGTATAGGCAGCCTAGCAGCCATGGAGATTGGGTTTGCTTTCCTTCTCCATCCCCAGCAAGAGTGTTGACTCTCCTGGGTGTGTTTGACCATATAAAAAACTGCTTTTCTTTGTTCTTCTGTGACCTGGATGATTTTGATTGTTTTCAAATTTAGTTACACACTTAATGACTTGACTTGAACATACTTACGTGAACTGAGGGCTGCCTTAGAGGCATAAGGCTGCCATAGTTATATCCTAGGTGATGTTAGCATGTCAGGGACTGGGCACATGGACACATAAGTACAAATAAGCCTGGTAGGAGGGTCAGCAGCTAAGAGCTTTTCATAAGAACTGATGTCCTGGTCATCAAAGGATACCTCAGGAAACCTGTTGATGCCTAGACGGGCTGGAAATGTTTGCTTTGCATACTCGTGAGTCATGGGCTGGCACAGGATGCTGGTGCCTTGACCATGATGAACCCTTTTTAATGGCCTCTGTCAAATCAACTGATTTACACAGTTTGCTCATCCTGATATTTTAAGCATGGGGAAAGTAGGTGTCAGTTTTGACAGGAGCTTGAGTCAGATCTTGGTCAATTTTAGTTGCTTTGAGCCTGTCACTGGTTTCACTCCTAAAATTAAAATTTTTTTCTACTTTATGTTATTCTGTAAAAAAGTTAAGGATCTTGCCTTTAGAGCAGCGGTTCTCAACCTGTGGATCACAACCCTTTTGTGATTTGACCAACCCTTTCATAGAGTCATTCCATTTGTCATTTTTGTCCATCAGAAAACACAGATATTTACATAACAGTTCATAGCAGTAGCAAGGTTACAGTTATGAAGTAGCAACAAGAACAGTTTTATGGTTGGGAGCAGCACAGCGTGAGAAACTGTGTTGAAGGGTCACAGCTGTGGGAAGGTTGAGAACTGCTCTAGAGGGAACACTGCAGGTTAAATGGACAGTTAGTCTGGCTTGTGCTGACAGACAGCCCTGTGTGGGTTTGGAGGCACTGTACTCTTTCCTTTCTGAGTGTCGCATGTGCCAAAGGAGACCCTTTTGTTACCCGAGTTTTGTCTTCTCTGTTTTAAGCACCCATGATCAGTAGAATACTCACTCTCCAGTGTAAACCAGATGGTTGCCTTTTAGTTTCAAGGGTACAGAACCAGATCAGAGGTCACTTAGAGGTAGGGCAGCCCTGATCAGCAAGCTCAGAGGTTGGAGAACCTGAGATGAAGATCCTTGCTGGCAGATCTCTGCCTTGTGTCCCTGACCAGGCTACCTGCCACACCCAGGCCCAAGATGAAAGTCCTTCAGAGTGGGCTTCCAAAGGAAAGCTCGTGCCTGAACCTGTCTGCACTTCATCCCCAGCCACGGCTTGGTTGTCTGTCTAATTATTGTTGCTTAGTTTCAGTTGCAATAATAGAGGTCTGGAGGAGGTGGAGAAACATTTAGAAATGTTCAAGAAGTGAATCCCACATCCTTTCAAACTGCTGGTGATGGTGTTTTTGCTTCTTTTGCCCCAGGAGATGGGGTGGGGGCAGTGGGGATTTTACTAGGTTATTGTCCAGGGAGAGTGTTGCCAGTCTTCCTGCCATGGTTGACTAAAACTTGTAGCATGGACTGGGACAGCACCTTCCTCCTTGCCGTGCTCTAGAATGTACCCCTCTTTAAAGGGGTGGTCTGTGAGGCCCCTGTTGTCCTTGGTGCTGTTGCTGAGAAGGGTGTGTTGAGAACCTTTCCTGGCGACATCACTGTCCTAGTTTCCAGGAGCTGGTCCTAACTACTTACTCAGCCAGCAAGTAGTCACTGCTCTGCTCCATGTAGCACAGGTATCAGGAGGGGTTTGCACATCAGAGGACATGGGCATGAAGGCAGGCCATGAAGGAGCATGGCAGAGTGGCTGTGACAGGCACTGCCGTGGGGAGGGGAGCATGGAGGAGCTGGTGCTGGGACTGCTTTGGAGAAGTCAGGGGGGTTAAGTCAGTGAATGTAGCAAGTGCACTTCAGGCAGAGGAAGAGCTAGGCCAGGAGGCCGAAGCTGTAGGTGTGTCGCCGGCTTGGCGAGGGTGGAGGAGGAGGCCTAAGTGGCTAAGCAGCAGGAACTCTGTGTGTAGTGGACATACTGCAGGAGTCTTAGGAACTTTAGAGATATCTGGATCTGAATGGAGCTGAGACTGAGTACGTGATGGGAGGTGATGCCAGGAACTGATAGAAGAGGGCCAACAGTGGCATCTTGAGCACAGGCCTGCTGAAGGCTGGAGAGAGCAGAGGTTGGAAAGGAGGCTGAGGTAAAGGCACACCACTCTTCAAGCAACTAAACAGTAAACGGAGAGAGAGTAAGAGGGAGGGGAAGGGTGCAGGGAGCATGCTTAGTAAGCTGGAGGTGATGGAGAATGGAAAACACTTTCTGCTTTTAATTTATAGGCCAGGTGGCCTTGAACCCCTTCTGTAGCCAAGGGTGATCTTGAGCCTCGGCCTCTATGTCCTACATGCTAGAATTATAGGTGAGTACCACTCCACCTGGTTTATGTGGTGCTGAGATGGACCCTAGGGCTTTGTGTACACCAGGCAATCACTCGAGCAACTGAGCCACAACCCCCACCCCCCATAACAGAATCAAAAATACCCATTCGGTAGTTATTCCAGGCTTGTCTTGAGTTAAACAGTGTTCCTTTGTGCTGGGCAGTGACCCTCCCGCAGGAGTGGGCTCAGATTTCATTTCTCCTCCTGAGTCCTGTGTGGCAGCTGCAGACTGCATGTGCTTTAGGAATCTGCTCAGCATAAATTACTCTCATTTGAGTGCTGAGACCCTGAAACATAATCTCCAGCAGCCCTAATGACTAAAAGTAGGAGCACATGTTGAGTTTTAGCAAATTCTGGTGGTTTCAGACACCTTTGCCATCCAAAGCCATCATGGCAGCTCATGCCACTCCATTCTGGAGTTCCCTCACACACACACACTGACAGCCTTCCCTTAGTCGTTGTTCATTGACCATCCCAGGCAATCAGGCTTGAGATCATGAGACTCTCCTATTCTCTCTCTCTCTCTCTCTCTCTCTCTCTCTCTCTCTCTCTATCTCTATCTCTATCTCTATCTCTTCCTGTCTCCTTCTTCCTGTCTCCTCTTCTCTCTTCCTCTTTCTCTTTCTCCCCCATCCCCCATCTTCTTCTCTCTCTCTTCCTCTGTCTTCCT